CGATGTCTAATGATTTCCTTATTCTTTTAGATCAAACTCACCTTTGCAAAATTCTTAACCTTTATTTGTTTGAAAGCTTTTGATCATTTTCTTCATCTGCTTCTCGATCAATGACTTCTAATGCAAAATGGTGGTCAACACTTCACTCATAGCTTTCAGAAAATACGTCCACACTTTTTTTGAAAAATCATCAATAAAGGTCCACATGTAGAATGATCCACCTTTCGATGCCACTAGAAAAAGACCACACAAATCTGAATGGATGTAGTTTATTGTACTCTTCGTTCGAGGAGTTATAGTGATAAATTTCACTGTATGTTGCTCACAAAAATTTAACTTCCTAGTCTTTTGACTATATAGTAAACTACACTTACTTAGTTTTTTAATCCCTCTTTCGCTCATATGACTCAATCTCATATGTCATAAATGTGTTACATCATCTTCAGGATCATTAGATGAAACCTCGAAAATAGTTTCAATAACTGTGTTGCCCACTAGACAATAAAGATCACGAGATAACTTGCCCTTCATGATAGTTAAGGTTCCTTTATTTACATTTAAGACTCCACCTTGGCCACTATATTTGTAGCCTTTCTTATCTAACAAACTCAAGGATATCAAATTTTTTTTCATGTCAAGGACATGTTTCACCTCAAGTGTTCTTACCATACTATCAAACATCTTGATCCGAATTTATTACCAAAATTCCAAGGATAGCATTACAAGCCATATGACTTACAAAAGCCTTAAAATTATAAAATGATTATCAAGAGCAATATTTTTTTATTATAATCTTATAATTATTAATTAATTCCATCTTAAACTATATATAAATATCAATTGATTAAAGTTCATCAAAATCTAACACATATTGAGTCCTAAATTCAAGGACTCAATATTCAAAAGTCTGTAGAAGTGACACTAATTAGATTTTTCAGATATGGATTTAAACTTTTGTTTATTTTGATTTTGAGATTTTTATATATTGGACATTTTAGGTTGAATATTTCCTTTGAAAAGTTTGGATTAGGTTATAATTAAATTTGTCTACCTTTGTTTTTATTCTTTCTTTTAAATCTACATTAATAATTTTGAATTTTTATGTGTCACTTTATTTTTTAATATATTTTAAATTTAAATAATGTGAAGATTGTAACGACGAAATATAGGCTTTTATAAGTCCTATGGCTTGTAATGCCATCTTTGGAATATATACTTACAAAAGCCTCAAAATTATTACCAAAATATTTTGATTCAAATAAGATCTGTTCTTTTTAAACATTACATTGACCAGAACGATCCTACTTTAATTACCCATTCTAAGATCCAAATTTTAAAGATTTTAAGGCCCATAGACTGGGGAGAAAATCTAAACCATTTCAAAAAATTTTCAAATACTTTTTCAAATACAGTTGACCATTGTCCTATTTTTAATTACTGGGATTACCAACAGGCATGGTTCAATACATTACCCCATTTCAAATACATTTTCTCGTGATCTTGCTTTTTACTGTTTATTGTTGTATATTCTTTTGTATTGTCGGCAACTTTCACGGGCAACCACTTTTGAATTTCATTTCTTTCTTCTTGGAGGAATATAGTCTTCATCTTGAGAAAGGTCGACTGGTGCCTTGGATGAAGCAGTTTTTTCTACTTCCTCTGCTTGTTTTTCATCTGAGTCTAAAGAGCTAAGCATTTCTACCATGATCCTTTTATACTCAGTCTTTGTTTTGGCCTGAGCAAGTAGTGCACTAGCATTTGATTTTGCTTGCAGAAATATGATATTTTTTTGAGAAGTCTAATGATTCTTGCATAGTCTTGGATTCTTTTTGAATCATATTAGCAAATATTGGGGATCATATTTTCTGTCAATAAATTTATCCCACCATTTTATTTTGAGGGTCCGAATAACCATCCGGGCTCCTGAATGAGGATCGGTGTCATAAGAATAATCCCATGACGTAATCCATGATATAATTAGTTTGAAAAAGAAGTGTATTGAAACATGTAAATTTGCCTAATCTTCTTCAAGTTAAAAATTTTGAGAATATCTTTCATATAGTTAATCAATTTTTGGTAGAAGGATTTCTCTTAAGGGTCCAAACCAGTTCCACCAATGAGAAAATCAGATTGAGAATTTATATTGATTTTCATATTTGAAATCAATGAAGTTGAAGACTAGGAGTTGCCCTAATTCCTATATTTTAATGAGAATATTGTAATTCTGTGCGAGGAGGATGTTGAGTTTCTATTTCACCTCTATTTGTTAGCCATTTATTTGTATTTTTTAAGGTGTTTATTTGTGGTTCTCCATAGTTTTCAAACCATTCAAAAAATTCAATTAGTATTTTATGTTTTTTCATGAAATTATAATATTCCTTTAAAATTTCATATTTCTATTGGTCATATTTTTTGAAATATTTTTTTCTTTTTTTTTTTATCAGAATAAAAATGTTTCCTACACCATTCTTTATTAATTTCAAATTTTTTTTCTAATACAAATATTTTTGAATCGTTTTCTAGATTTGTTGGTAGATTTGGGTTATTTATCATGGATTAATATGTTGGAGACATATTTGGAGAATTTGATGATGTATTTTCTTGCCTATTGTAAATAAGTTGTGGTACTTTGAGGAATTATTTATACTTTACAAGTTCATTCTAACATAAGGTATTGAGGATACAGAGGCTCTGGCTGTCCTAAAGTTGTACTTATGGTGGAAGGGGATTCTATGTTGATTGTTAAATTTGTATCAAAAGATCTTCTGGAAGGTATTCTTGGTGACCTATTAAAAACAAGTTCTACTGAGTCATCTCTATATTCTGCCACATGATTTATTTCAGTATTTTGTACTGAAACAGAAATAGTTGCTCTTTCAATTTTTCACCTATTTGGAAGTTGAACTTCATGCCATTGAATAATCCTAGGAATCACTATGTAGGACCTAATCATATATGTTTGTATTAATAATGTTTCTCCTTTTGGGCTATGGATTAAAGTCCTGGTATTTATGACTGAGTACATTGCTTTGTAATACAACCTATAAACCACTATCAATGGTTCAGATCTTGACATCATTTTATAATTATGTGTTTGAATTTGTAAGATTAACGAATTTAAAATATTTCTTTCTTTTAAAGAGACCATAAAATTTGAAAAGGAATTAAAATGTATTGGTCCTCTACAGAGGCTTGTTTCTACTATTCCTAACAAAGAATCATTGAAATGAAGATATTTTTATCTCTTAACACTATAAGTATTGAGGTGTCTAACCCTTCTTTCATTAAAGGCTTTGCTCTTACTTGAATTAATCCAAAATAAATATAATTATATTTTTGAGTTTTAAGTTTATTAATTGTTTTTTGATCCAGAAGTTAGATATTTTCATACTGATTTTGAATGGATATTCTTTTTTCTTTAGTTTTAATTAAATATTCACAAAAAGAATTTAAATGTAATGCATGAAATGTCGAAAATTTATAAATTTAATTTTGAAGTACTCTTGATATTTCTCAATTATTTATCTCTTAAATTATATTTTCATAATGTATATTTTCATAAAAAGAACTTATCAATATATATATATATATATATATATATATATATATAACCTTTCTAAGTACTGCTGTAATGTCGTACACAATTCGGAGATGCCATTGTTATCAGGAAAGCTGGTGCTACATTTTGTCCATCTGCTCTTAAAAGAAAAAGAAGATGATGGAAAAGAATTAAAAAGAATTTGATTCGGATTGCCCTTTACGCATGATTTTGCTGATTTACTCACAATGGACAATCATTCATGAAACCAACCTCATTAATGATAGGGTCGGACTCGGATGAAACTAATCATTCTATTTGTGCATCCATCCGTAATTTCCTTCTTAGTATATTACCTGAGAAGCCATATGGATGAGCAGTCTTTCATTCAAATAAGCAGTCTAAAAGTTGCAAGCATGCTCAAAAGGAGTTATGTTTAATAATTACTTCTCGTCACTCTAAAGGAAGAATGGCCTGTATTTTAAAGGAGAAAAACTAAGGAACTGTTCTTAGGGAATTCGAGAGTTGTTAAGAATGAAAGCATAGTGCATCTCACCTTAACTAAATTTCACTCAAATAATCATGTCAGCGGGATTTCAATGTTTAAAACGAGCACAAAGGAAAATGATAGCGTAAAGAAGAAAAACTGGGAACTAAAATGAAATCGAAACCCACCAAAGATGAAAGTGCCACAGAATGCACGATGGGAGTTTTGTTTAAACTTTGCCACCCCATAATGTCCCCACTGACTCCAATTCTTTTGACGTGGCAATGCCACGAGGCCGATGGCAACATTTTCCGGTTTTCTGACTCGTGAAACCGCGTTGGCTTCAATGACACATGGTACGCACTGATCAGCACTGAGCATGGTGAAATAATCCTAAACACAATTTCAAACCACCACTATTTATCTCTCATATTATATACTTAATTTGTCCAAAGGCTGTCAGAGTGCAGAGAGAGAGAGAGAACTGCTCCTTCTCTGTATCTGACGCGTGGACGAGTCAAGTTATAGTTCAAAGCTTCATGCTTCCAAAGCAAACAAAAGGACAACCCATGGTTTTAAGCCAACACAACTGTGACCTACTACCGCTTGTCATTATATTCAGGCCCCAACTAGCATGACGGAACAATGGATCAACCTCAACCAAAATGGATTTTTTGGCAAGCAAAATAAACTAATAGCATTGTGCATTGACTATTCCACTTGTACACATTAACTATATATAGACCAAACAAGAAAAGAGAAGGAGCTATCACAACGGGATTATGTTACTACTTTAAATAGTACAATTTTAAAAAAAAAGGGAGAAAAATTAAAAAACATAAATTACTAGAGGAAGTTAATTTATTAAGAACCAGCGTTTCACAAGTCCTTAACTTCAAAGCATTTAAATCCCTGTGTTTCATTTTCTTACCATAAGCGACTTCTACGCTACACAACTATATAAATAAGGTGTGAAGTTGCAGTTGTATATTTATCAAATCATAACCAAGCCAAAATTTCCATCTGCCTTTCCAACCATAAAAATGCTGTATTCTAAAAGAACCAAGTCTCCGGGGCTGCTTCTCCAATCAAAATGCCTCTTCCTATTTGTTATAATGGTGAGTTGCACCCCTCCTGAGGAGCCTGTCAAATGTTCATCAAAAGATTCCAACTGCACAATCTCGAATTCTTATGGCTCTTTCCCCGATCGAAAAATATGCCGAGCAGGGAATGTGGCGTACCCAACCACGGAAAACGAGCTTGTTTCGATTGTATCAGCGGCAGCCGAAGCCAAAAGAAAAATGAAGGTGGTGACACGTTTCTCTCATAGCATTCCGAAACTGGTCTGCCCCGATGGTGAAGACGGGTTGCTAATCAGTACGAAATACCTTAACCATACACTTAAAATCGATGCAGCGGCAATGACAATGACTGTGGAGAGCGGTGTCACGTTGAGGCAACTGATCAATGATGCCGCCAAGGCTGGCCTAGCATTACCGTACGCTCCATATTGGTGGGGGCTCACCATTGGAGGTCTTTTAGGCACGGGCGCTCATGGGAGCTCGTTGTGGGGGAAAGGAAGTTCCGTTCATGATTATGTTGTGGAGATGAGGATAGTAAGCCCGGCAGGAGCGAAAGAAGGATATGCTAAGGTCAGGGTGCTGCATGAGAGGGACAAAGATCTTGAGGCTGCTAAGGTTTCACTCGGAGTCCTTGGAGTAATTTCACAGGTATTCTTGGCTCTGTTCCTTATTGTTGTGTTTTATTTATTTATTTATTTATTTTGTCTTTCCTTTTGGGGATTGTTTTGGCTCCACGCGGCTGCTGCTGCTGCTTTGTCCTTGTTTTGGTTGGGGCCAGATTGCAATCGAAGGGAATTTGTTAAGCATGGACACCACGAAATAGAGATTAACTTAATCTGAAAAGCGTTTTGGGTCACCTACTCTAACTCTAGGCATTTTCTCTTTTGGACTATATATATGAATCTATTATAATTTTGAGTCATCTGATTAAACTATCAGTGAAAAAAGGTGTTGTTTCTTTTCATGTCTCTTTGTTTGCACAATCTTTCCGGAGAAGTTTTCTGTTCCTTGGTAAATTAATTTTGTGACCAACTTGTGCCTGACACTTAGGACACAAAATTCAGGATTCACGAAAACCATCCAGCCCTTTTATCCGTCACCTGATTTTCACCATAACTGGTAGTTTTAAGGATAGTGACCATATCGTTCTTGACAAAATAGTGAAGTAACTATAATTATAACAAGAGGAACATGAGAAAAGTACTTTTTATTTACTATATTTCTAGTCAAAATCTTTCTTGAATAAATTTTCAGGAAGTTTTCCCAAAATTATATTACTCTAGACAAACATAAATAATATAGGAATAATAATAAATTAGGCATAATACTTTAGAAAACTTCTAATCTATTTAAAAAAATTCAAATAATTTTTTATTCTTAAATTGTATTCAAACAAACTCTATACTTTTATTTCAGATCAAAGAGACATTTGTAATTAATAGTTATTTAATTATCATTAATCAAAACGTCACTTGTCAATTTTTTGTATCATGTGATACTGACATGAAGGTTGAAACATAACTCGTAACTATGTTATCATGTTATATAACACGTTATGTCATCATCTATTATCACATGTGAATATTTCATATTAGTATCATGTGATATAAAACAATAAGTGATATTGATATAAAATGATAAATTACTTTTTAATTTATAAAAGTTAATCAATTGTTAATTACAAAGATTTATTTAATCCAAAATAAAAGTAAAAAGAGCTTATTAAACATAATACAAAATAAAAAATGATTTAAAAATTTTTAAATAATTAAAAAAAAATTAAGTATTATGTCAATAAGCTATTAATAGACCATCCTTATTTGTAAGTCCAAGTTAAAATCAACATGGCCAAGCATTTCTTCGAAACAATATAGAAATTAAGATTCCTTAATTAATTAGATCCCATATCCTTCAAATTAACCCCAATCAAAAATACTAGACATCCTAATATATATTTATATATATATGTGTGTATGTATGTATGTTTAGGGTTCTATTTATTTGATTAGTTTAAAAACTGTGAGTTCCAATTTCCTAAAGTTTTACATATATCATCTAAACTTAATTAGGATTTGAAAGGAATCCAGACATCAAATTATTTTTTTTCTTTTTTAAATTTTGTGAATAAAATATTGGAATTTAATACTTCTAATAAAGTAATACATGCATACATTGATTGGCATTTTGGCTCTATTATGATAATAAATACTCTAATTTTAGAGATTGGCTTTTAAATACTTTAGTTGGAATTTCAATAACTCTGAAAAGGGCCGTCAGGAAGTCCGCCTGTATTATTGATCCACCAACCGTCGTAAAAGGGTGTCACCAAAAATGAGCCCACGACACCAACCGTATCACATGATAGAAATGCCTGCATGGCCGTGTCCAACTCCGACAAAGGATCTGCAGCCCCATCTTTATGATTCGACGTAAAACAAACAAATTAAGCATCATATAAGACATTATTGCTAATAACGACGATTCATCCATCTAAACCTATTGCTTTTTTTTATTAGAATAAAGTTATCAAGACAAATTATGTAATATCATACGTAGAAAAACCTTATCTATACATTTCCTTTTTGAATTATAAAATAAAAGATAGCAATTCTCTATCTACAACAACAAATTTGATTTGAATTATGCATTTTTAAAATGTACTATATTAAATTTTTTTTAGTAATTTTTTTTATATTTTTATAGTAGTTTTGTAGACTTGATTATATTATATAAATTTTTACTAATATTACAAATAAAATGTAATTATATAGATTGCATACACTAGTAAAAACTATACTTTTTATTATATTAAAATATGTTATCTAAAAAATATAATTAAAGCTTAAATTTATTACTTTTAAAAAAACTTAAATTTATTAAGTTGGGCCGGGGCTTTGGAACAAGAGTACCATTATTGCTCGACATGATCCAACACTTTTTATTTAATTCCTGAATAATTATAAGTAATTAAAATTTGAAGAAAAATATAAAAAAATACTATATATGGAAAATGTTTGATTATAGTAGTAGTATTATGTTTTATACATGGACGAAAAAGAAAAATGTATTTGATATTCTTTTTATCATTTTTCTTTGCCTTCAAACTTTTCACAAGGCAAAGGAGCCTGCAAATTGGACTGGAATGTGGGGTTATGGTTCTAATTTGCAGTCTTAACGCATGAACATATGCAACGTACTAGTGCATATTTAGAATCCATTCCCTATATATAATAACTCTCCTGCCAATTTGTGTCTCCCTCTTTTTCCTTGTAATTTTCTTTTTTATTTTTTCGCCCTATTCATGCAGGTGACATTCAAGCTTCAACCCCTCTTCAAACGATCCATCAGCTACGTGACACAGGATGACGCAGATTTGGGAGATGAAGCAATCACCTTCGGCAAACAGCACGAGTTTGCAGACATAATTTGGTACCCTAGTCAACGCAAGGCTGTCTACAGAATCGACGATCGGGTCTCCTCTAATGCATCCGGAAATGGTCTCTACGATTTCACTCCATTTCGCTCCACTCTTTCCCTTGCTTTGGCATTTATTAGAACTACAGGTTAGTTGATGATGAGCAGATTCCGATGCAGGAGCGAAGTTAATTAGTTAATTTTTATCTAAAAGGTCAAAAACGAACAAAGAGTAAAAATTAAAATTTTTTTAAAAAAATTATTAAAATAAAAAAATTATACCTCATAAAAAAAGGATAAAAGATAGATAATATATACAACATTTTAAAAATTTTAAAGGATATAAACACATTAAGTTCCGCAGAGTATCGATACTATAAAAATATAACTTTCCTCCTCTTCACCCAACATTGATTCAACAGCGGAATAGTGTTACAATTTATTTGTTATATATTAATTTAATGGTGCTTTAATGAATCAGAGGAAACCCAAGAATCCTTGAGGGATGCTGATGGGAAGTGCCTCGGTGCAAAGCTGGTTGTATCCACGCTACAAACGGCTGCCTATGGATTGACAAACAACGGTATATCCGCGTTTCTTCGTTTACTGTGTTTTGATTAGGGGTGTGAAATTTCAAACCTAGCCCTATTTTTGTCGTTAAATTCTATATGCAACCTGGATATATGATTTGACATTAATTTATTTTGAATACATTTCATTAAATTTTCTAATCTTTATTTTTTCTTTCCATTTTTGTGAGATAGGTATAATCTTTACTGGCTATCCAGTAATTGGATTTCACAACCGTCTCCAATCATCGGGGACCTGCCTAGATAGTCCTGAGGACTCGTTGATTACTGCATGCCCTTGGGACCCAAGAATCAAGGGTGAGTTCTTTCACCAAACCGCATTTAGCGTTGGTTTGTCAGTAGTGAAAAGCTTCATTCAAGACGTGCAGAAACTGGTAGCATTGGAGCCTAAAGCACTATGTGGCCTGGAACTTTACAGTGGGATCCTCATGCGTTACGTAAAGGCTTCAAGCGCTTACTTAGGCAAACAAGAAGATGCAATAGATTTTGATATCACCTATTACCGGAGCAAAGATCCCATGGCTCCTAGGCTTTACCAAGATATTATAGAAGAAATTGAACAAATCGCGCTTTTCAAGTATGGAGCATTGCCACATTGGGGCAAGAATCGGAACCTGGCATTTGATGGGGTGATCGAGAGATACAAAAATGCCGGCAAATTCTTGAAGGTTAAGAATATGTACGATCCATCGGGGCTCTTTTCTAGTGAGTGGACTGACCAAATTCTTGGATTGAGAAATGGGGTCACAACATTGAAAGAAGGGTGTGCTCTGGAGGGATCGTGTATTTGCTCACACGACATTCATTGCGCTCCAAGCAAAGGCTATTTGTGCAGACCTGGAAAAACTTTTCAAAACGCAAAAGTTTGTGCTCGTGTAAGTTCTAGTTAAAATTAGACGTGACATGATCCCGATCATTCAATTCAGAAATGTATTGATTAGGTCAGGTTTCATTATTTATTAATTATGCAAAAACAAGATAATAATTTTACATATTCGCTCTTTAAAAGCATAGGCTTAAAAAGATAATAATTGTCACTGTAAGTTTGGTCAGTGACATTATCAATAAAATTCAATGTGTAAAGGCCATGGCAGATGTAGATGGAATTGTTTAACATGCATAGCCATTGTTCAGTGTTGATGCACCTCGCAGATCAGTGAAATCCTATCGAAATCATGCTAAGTTTTTGTAAGGGCATATGAGATGGTGCTAAACTTGGCAATTGCTTGGCAAAAGTTTCGCAGGGCAGAGGCCCAAGAACTTTTACGGCCGATTTTTTAAATTTTTTAATTGATATAATATTTAAATAGGTTTTTAAATTATTTAAAAATTTTAAATAAATTTTTATTTTTATTATATTTAATTAAATTTTTATAATTTTATTTTAAATTAAATAAATTTATATAATTAATGATTGATTAATTATTATTAATCTAAATACTAATTATTATTTTATATCCATACACATTGACGTGACGTTAATGTAAATGGTGAAAAATATCACATTATTATATTATCATCTTAAATTAATATATCATGTCATCATCAATTATAATTTATTTATATGTCAAATAATAATTAATTATGATATTTTAACATGTTATGTTAACGTTATGCGATATAAAATAATATATGACATTTTAACTAAATTAATCTTTAGTCATAAAAGTTTATTTGACTTAAATAAACATATAAAAACTTATTTGATTCAAAAAATATAAAAGTTTGATTAAACGTAATAAAAATATAAATATTTATTTAAAATTTTTGAAATAATTTAATGACTTTTTTAGATATTATATTATTTTTATTCATAATTAAGAAAAAACCATCTCCCAAAACACAAACCGAAACACCCCCCTTTCTTTCTCTCTCTCTCTCTTTAGCTGATATTTTGTTGTTAAAGAGAGAGACAAGTTGTAGGTGTTAAAACATTTAATATTTTTATTATCAAAAAACCCATGTTTAAAATATGAAATGATTTTAATATCCTCTCTTTATGTAACAAGTGAAAAGAACAGAAAAGGCCAAACTATCTTTTAAATCGAATAAAACTTCATGTGCATATGTCAAGCATAGAAAACCATTAAAGCTTAAAAACATTACAATTTAGTTAATTTTTTCTTAGGCTTATACATTAAATAATATTCTAAACATCATTAACATCACATCAAAAATGGAAAAGAAGAACAGTTATTATGAAATTGTATTTTTCAAATCATTTTATTAAAAGTATATATATTATAGGTCGAAACTTAAGTCTAACCTCGTACTATCTTAAATTTTGAAAATAAAATTTAAATAAACCTTTAAATCATAGACCATGATCTTAATCCAAAAAACATATCTCATGAGTGACGAAAGATACATGTTTATATATTCAAAACCCACCCCATCTCTTACTAATGTAGGATTGATGATTCAATCACTAACATATGCTTTTAAACTTTGACTTAATCATAGACCACGATCTTAATCCAAAAAACATATCTCATGAGTAACGAAAGATACATGTTTATATATTCAAAACCCACCCCATCTCTTACTAATGTAAGATTGATGATTCAATCACTAACATATGCTTTTAAACTTTGACCTAAAAGATATGCATGATAGATAGTGAAAAATTTAGGTTTATACATTTAAGATTCACCCCATCTCTTACTAATGTGAGATCTATGATATATATGAATAGAATATAAAATATCTAAAAAAGATAGTTTGTTAGTGTAAAAAGTACATATAAATATATATATATATATATAAAGATTATCATATGATATATTGTTTATCAAAATTTTAAATTTCACATGAAAAGTTAGAGAGTTGTATATATTTTATTAAGTATAATTAAGAAAATTAATAAATTAATAATATATACGAAAGAACATCAAACATAATTCTACCCCATTTATTAAATTTAAAAACTTCACAAACTAATAGAAAAACGGCCCAGCCCAACAAGGGTGTTTCAGAAATTTCATGAACAAATACCACGTGTCAAATATGTGACTAAGCAGGATTCGTCAATCACACCATACCAGCAAACGCCAAACCGCAGCGTAGCCCTACACTTTCCCAATTAGGGTGGTTCTGGAACGAAGAATCACCCATCGTCGGATAATAAAACTCAGCAGAATACGCACCGGAGGTCTAAACCCAGCAAAAATATTTAACTCAGTATTTTTTTTCAAACCCCACTCCCCCAAAGAAAGAAAAGAAAAACCCATCAAATCGAAGCTCACAAAGCCAATAAATTATTAACTGGTAAGCCCATTTCACTATCTGTTATTTTATTTTCTTTAGCTAATTGTTTTATTTAAATCCTTTTGTTTTCAGCTGCCCAATAATATTATTCTTTTTGTCCCATTGTGATTAAATTTCTCACATTTTAATCTTTCTTGAATTGAAATCCGTTTGTCTACACCTTAGTGTTACAATTTGTTATATTTTGCATGATGGGGATTTAAGGGGATATGTAAATTTACAGGCTTTGCATAAATAGGGTTTTACGTCTTTGGCATTCTGTAGTGTTGAACTTTATTCAATTGGTTACCGCGTTTTTAGGGTTTATGTGAATCGGGGATTCGTTTTTCTGTTGACCCACTTTCTAGCCCTTGTTTCAATTTCAGTTCATTCTGAGACAAATTGATACCTGGTTTGCTGGTTTATTAAGTAACTCGTCTCTATTAGGCACTTTTATTTTAATGTCAGTGCAGCACTTGAACATATTTCTGTAAAGTATAGGCGTATTAATGTAATTTCGCATGTAGTTATTGGATGAGCTGAACTGCGAAAAGAGGCAGGCATGGCGGAGAATGCAGAAGTTGATGAGAGGGTGGATCTTGATGACAATTACATGGAGGAAGAGGATGATGATGTTGAAGAGCATCTAGATGACGATGCGGTGGATGATGGTGGCAATGGAAATGGGGAAGAAAATGATGAAGAGGAGTTTGAGGACTCAAAATCTGGGGTGAGTGGGAAAGATCAATCATCTGAAATAGAAAGAAGCCACATTGAAACAGAGCATGTGGAAGATGAAGAAAAGCCTGTTGCTTCTGTTAGTGACGAAGAAAAAGAGAAGCATGCCCAACTTCTTGCCTTGCCTCCCCATGGTTCTGAGGTTTTCATTGGAGGTCTTCCAAAGGATGTCTCAGAAGAAGACTTGAGAGAACTTTCTGAACCAATAGGAGAAATTTTCGAGGTCGCAACTTTGCATTTGTGATCTTCAAGCTCTTTATCTATCAGTAATTTGTGATTTTCACTTTAATAGTAAATTATTTTGCAGATACGGTTAATGAAAGATAGGGAATCTGGTGAAAGCAAGGGTTATGCTTTTGTGGCATTCAAATCGAAAGAGGTTGCACAAAAGGCAATTGAGGAGTTACATAGTAAAGAGTTCAGGGTAATTTTGGTGCCTCTTGCTTTTGCTTTAATGGCTTGGTGTCGTAATGTATTCACTACAATTTCTTTTCTGTAGCAATGTATTTTTGTATTTCTTTTAATATGCATAATCTCTGCAGGGTAAAACAATAAGGTGTTCTCTCTCTGAAACTAAAAACAGATTATTTATTGGTAATGTTCCAAAGAGCTGGACTGAGGATGAGTTCAAGAAAATCATCGAGGGTGTTGGTCCTGGAGTTGAAAATGTTGAACTAATAAAGGTAGAATTTTGAGCTAGATGATGCTTTTAGAACATATTAAGTGTGAATATCTGAGATACCCTTTACCATTTCAATTTTGTTAATTACAGGATCCTCAAAATACAAGCCGTAATCGTGGTTTTGCTTTTATCTTATACTACAACAATGCCTGCGCTGATTATTCCAGGCAGAAAATGTCAAGTGCTAATTTTAAGCTGGATGGCAATACCCCTACTGTCACCTGGGCAGATCCCAAGAGTACACCTGATCATTCTGCTGCTTCCCAGGTAGATTCGAATGGAATTAGGACAAGCTAGAACTTGAGATATATTTTGAATTGCCATCTCAAGGAACCATCGTGTGCCTTCTCTATCTCTCCCCTCCATTTTTAGAACTTGTTGCGACAAAGGGAAAAATAAAACTTCTGTGAAAATAGAAACGAGACTCTATGTTGTGAAATGATATATCGTCAACAGATGTGTACTTATGATGCTTGTGTTCAATTGAGCAGTAATAGTCCTTTCTGTACAATCATGGTGCTATGACCTAGGAGTCTGTAATGTGTTAGATGTCACTATAATAGGAGTATTTTCTTAAAAATTCAAGGAATGATAGAAGCATAATATGTGTTGTATGTGAAAGTAATGCTTTTGTATGAAAAGAATTGAAAAACCGGCCAAGAAAGAGGCTAGGTAACTTAAGCGACCAATGTAAGAGACTAGACATCCTTGGATACGATGTTGGTGATATTGGCAACTTTTTTGGCAACCTGGAGAGGCTGTATCCTTGGATAGAATGTTTGTTTTTTGCTTCAGTGGATACGTGCGTCCTTCTATTGATTTATTCTTATATCAATAGTACATGCTATGATAATAATCCTAAGCCTAAACAGATTTATACTGTTGTTGAATCATAAGTATTTCAAGATTATAAAATGTCATTGCTATAGCATAATGGTAGTTTGTGTTTCTTTGTAAAATTTCTTTTTAGTTTCTTATGGAAGATGTTTTATAGTCTACAGGAATGATGTGCAAAGAACAAACTTGAAATTTGTTGTATGAGTTGTGATTAGCATTTTTTCTATGTGTTCAATCACTATGAATGCTCAGCAGTTTATGAAGCTCCACTCTGTTTTGTGTTAACATGAAACCAGATACTCTGCAGGGTGTCGATATATGTGAACATGTATACATGTGCAAAGCTTCTATGAGCTTTTCTTTTTGGATCATATATTGACAATTGATAATAATTGGATATATTTGCCTCCGTTTAGAAGTGCACTGGGAGGCAGAGAGTTAATGTTCATGTTGTTATCCCTTGGATTGACTGACGTACATGTTTTTAAA